AACACGCTCCACGAGAGTCACGATGCGTAGGCACATCACTCATCCGACCTTGCGTGGCCTGAAGACTGGAGTCCTCTTGTCCTATGTGAAAGAGGCATTTTGCGTGATGTCTGTTTGCAACCCTTCATGCGGCCCATTGCGGTTCTCAGTGATCTTGCTTTGAGATACAGCTGGTCCAGTTGTCACCCCTCTGCCCTTCTGTGGCGTGTTTCTCATTGGCATACACGGGACCGGTTTGCAGCTCTGGCAAATCTTACTACAGACAATGGCACGCCTTCTTTCCAGTGGGCCTCTTTCATCCCGCCAGTCTACCTGACAGCATGGATGCATCTCCTCAGATGTTTCGCCACCGAGGCCTCAAACACGGAGAAAGATGCAGCACTGCGGGATGTTTTGCCGCTCTTTCACAATCAAAGCATTCACTTGCCATTTCGGTTTCTTACTGATCTCCTACAAATCTCAGGGCTTAGTCAGAATTTTGCCAACATCACCAATTTCAAGCATCTCCTGACATCACACACCATTCGATCATTTGTTGGCAATTCATTTCACCCCAAACTGGTTAGCCTTGCGCTTGGAACGTCCGAAGATATGCAAGCTTGGGTTCAAGGGCTGCGCCCATGTGTTACAAATGTTGCAGATCCTAACACTGTTCGCAAATACTATTTGCGCCTCAAGCAAGAAATCGCAAATACCCTGCTATTCAGTCTTAGCACTCTTGCTTGCCTTTGTGTCTCCCTCTCGGAAACGAAAAGGGGAAGAATCGCCAAGTGAGAAGCTCCGGCGATTGAGCAGCCCTCGGCACTGGGATGTTGCCTTAGTACCGTTCCCGGAAGATTTTGTGCCGCTGCCCACGCCAACCGAAACCGGACTAGCGTGTCCAGCACCATGGGCCTTCCCACCTAGCCTACGTGTGCTAGAATCTAGAGCAAACAAATTCCGGGTGTTGGCCATGGCGGAAGCAGGAGACACGGTCACTGCTGACCACCTGCTGCAAATGGCCAGCCTAGCAGCAGAGCACAAACCCACTGTGCTGGGTATCCCCGGCCAAGCGCCCATTCCGTATCAACTTGAATGCACAGTAGTCCTATTGCAGAGTTTGCATGCCCTCTTCCAGCTGCTGACCACAGGCAGTACGTTACAGCACTGTCCTCAAGCGGCTGGTTTTGCTGTTGCCCTAGGCACAGCCGCCCGGCAAGATAATGGTTTCGATGGCCTCCAGCCTAGCGCTGGCCCTCCGATCTGGCAGATCTACCCTGGCAGTAGCAGGTGTCTTTGGTGCGGGCAAAACTCGATCCCTGACCTTCCTTCTCGCCTGGCTGGCTCTTACCACTCACCTCAAGATTGCAGTCGTGCGCAAAGAGAATCCAGCTGGTCGGGCGATCACCAAGTTGCTAACTGCTTTTGACCTGGAGCCAGACCATCAGCGATATTTCATACGGCCAGTTAGCAGAGAAGAGGCAGAAACTAACACAGCATGCACTGCCTACGACCTGCGTGCAAGCGACGCGGCTTCCTATATCCCTGGCTGCCATGTTGTTATTGCCACTACGGGGCTGGTCTGGGACCAAAAAGGACAGACTCACTCCACACTCAAAATGTGGACCTGCTCATTAGTGAGGAGGCACAGCAGGATATGGACCTCAAATCTGCCTTCGCGCCGACAGTCCCCCGACAACCCTTCTTTCGATTGCTGCTTGGTGATCCCAAACAAAGCCCTGGTGGAGTAGCTGATGGACAGAGAGCCCATCGCACGCTCTTACTCAAAGCTCCCATTGGGCTACGAGCCCCCACTACCTGGTACATGCCACATGAGATACCAGGTGTCTTTCACATGCTCCTTCGGCATGGTCGAGGCTTTGGCCTTAGTGATCTAGAAGAAACGGCTAATGCTGTGGGCCACAGGCCATTGGGGAGTAACTGGTTTCGCCCGGAGAAGATCAAAGCCACGTCCTCTTTCGCCTGTCAGCTACAGTCCACCTACAAAGACCTCTCCAGAGTGGATCTGGATCTCCCGGAAGGACTTCTTGTAGGTCTAGGATATGCAGCCACCAGCCCGGACAGCCCACTCGACTTCCGACAGGCGCAGAATGCCGCCGAGAGATCGGGAGTAGCAAGCCCGCACCGCTGGAGTCTAATGTTGCCAACGAGCGCAAGGGTTGCCCAAGAGGTGTATGAGCCGTTAATAGGAATTCAGTATCCCATGCTGTGCAGCCGAATGGGAGACACTTGGCAAATAGGTACCACCTCCATTCGAGAGGATCACCGGATTGCCTCAGGCCTACGATTTGTCCATTGGTGTCATGCTTCGCCCAATGCGCATGCAAGGCATAACCCAAAGAATGATCCTACCGTGCGAGTGTATCAACACCTCGAAGACCAACTTACCAAAGCAGGAGCTGACACCGATGACATCTTGGCCCTTACAACCATTCGAGAAGGGGCAACGAATTTGCGCAATTACTTCACCATTGCCGACAAAAAGGCCAATGGAGAGATTGCAGTCAAAGTTGCAGGTGCCACGGCCAAACATTGCATCGTTATCCACGGGGTATCAACCTTCCTCTGTGGCGAAGGGCACAACCTGGATTATGACCAGGAGTGCTTCACACGAGCAAATGTGGCATACAGCCGAGCCACCGACCTCACCATCCTAGCCTGTCCGCTGAACATGCAAGGAATGCCTGGGGCCCTACAAGTTCTAGCAGCCCTTTTGCATGGTGTCCAAACGATATATACCTATGACAGCAACAGAGAGCCCGTTATCTTAGGCTCGCTGGACCTTACAGCCGCACAGGTTGCGCAAGCCACGATATTCTTCCAGCAAGCGCTTCTGCCCCACCCAATGTGGTTAGGCCCTCTACCGGTCTGTCTCGCAGAATACCATCAAGGCAAGGTGAGGCGCTTACGTCTCGTCTTAGCTGCACTAACGCACTTGACCAAGGCGGAAATCGCTAGCCTGAGAGAAGGACCCCACCTGCCTGGTGGAACGGTCTTGCATGACCTTGTCTATGGCTATGCAGTTGATGCTTCGCTTGAGCCGGAGTGGTTGGTCATAACAGACGGGCAGCAGCCAGGACGTTGGCGACTCCTCCACAATAGCTTTGGCCCAGGAAAAAGGTGCAGCGTAGGGAGCTCCCTGCGCTATCAACCAACGCCAAGCACGGGTGAACAACGCAGTGCACAAGATTACACCTTCGAAGCATTGCACCGAGTGTACTTTTATGCCGCATGGAGAGTGCAGCCAGTCCTCGATGCCCCCGGATCTGAACTAGTCCTGCCACCGCAACCAGGCCTTTTAGTGCATGGCTGTTACTGGCCTCAGCCAAGTGCAACACCTGAGGTCCTCTCTGTCTCTGACCGTGATACAGAAAAGGAGGAACATGATGTGCAAGAGGGACAGCCGCTGTCCTCTCCAGTGGCGACAGATGCCACAATGGCTGATGAAGAAGCAAATGAAGCAGTCTCTGTCCATGGCTCCTCCTCAGAGTCGCCCGCCATCCCGAGTACAGAGCAGCCGGAGGAAGAAGACGAGCGCATGGAAGACGACGACAGTGCTAACACCTCCTCTGCAGATGAGGATGATTGCCTTAGCAATCGTCCGGCTCCTCCTGAAGCATATCCAGCACACGACGAAATGCTGGAAGCAGAAGATGAAGCAAGGAGCATGCTACCCCCACAGAACGGGGAACCCCCAAGTAGCAGCCCCACGTCGCACTCCTCTGAGTCCCCTATCAAACGAAGACCGGGGTCTAAGGCTAGTGCAGGGAGAGCTCAGTCCAAGAAGTTACGGAAATCACTTGCTCCAGCATCCAGGCAACCGCTCGGTAGCATCCCCGAACACGAGCAACCACCGGCCACGCTGGCAGACCTGGCCAGTCGGAATGCTCAAAGGCAGGAGGCTCCAGTTTGCAGGAACCCTGAGACACCACCTGACCATCCTGGAGCGACGCAAGAGAGCTCACACACCGCAGAGAGCCATGCAGGCCCTATACGACTATCAACATGCGGCTCGAACGGCCAGAGAAGCTGACGGACAAAGCGTGCCGCTCCCCTCATTACAGACCTACAGTGACCTGCCTAGAGAATGGCCGATGGCGAGGCTTGCAATTTCCAACAAGCAAATTAACCGCCTTGTCCGTACATTCCTCTGGAGGCGGGTAACAGAGCAAGCACTCCATGGCTCCTCTTTTAAGGAGTTTTCTGCCTAACCGGGGTTGGGAATTGAACTGGGGTTGGGGCTTGGGTTGCCTTTGGAATAGATGGCTTTCTCAATTGACTTGAGCCTTGGGTTGCCTTTCTCAATTGACTTGAGCCAACAATGAAGTTGGCAGTTTGGAGTGCACAGTGTCCTCATTGGTCTCCTCACTTGTTTCCCCCACTTGTCAGTCAGTGTGACTTATGTTTTGTTTGCTGCTGCCGCTGCCTGGTCTCCCTACTAATCACTTGGAAGGCCTCACTCACTGATGTCATTGGGCAAGTAGTTTATTGAAGGTCTTTAATAAAACAATTCTGGTTCAATGCTCTCCATACGCTGCGCGCGGCATAAACCAGTCAGAGCGCTGCAGGTCCGTGTGTGTGTGTGTGCGCGCGTGCGTCTTTATGCGGAGTGCGTTTGTTGAGTTCGACAATGTGCAAAACGGTATCCCAAGAATCATATCCTGGATATTACATAATACATATTTTGCATTAAACTAAGGATTTGAAAGAAACCCTCTGCTGGTGCGGAAATCACAGCCCTCATGAGGCATACTCTCAAATGCCTGCCGATTCCCTGGGGACTCTATGGGGAGTTGTTGGAGAAAATGAAGCCGTTTTAAACTGATTGAAACCTCGTCTGGCAATGTTCAATGTTTGTAACCATTTTTCCACATGGTTGGCTTAACCCGCCACCACGCCAGAACTGCACAATGACAACTGCGGTGTAAAAACAGAACACAATGATGGCACATCTTGGATCGCACTGAAGGAACTAACCATTTTTCACCCTGGCAAAGAGTTCGGTTTGGTTTCAGCTGCCCTAAAGACAGGCCTGTGCATCTCGCAAAACCCTCACACAATCACTCACTGTGTCGTGGAGACCTCGGTCTTGGAGAATGGCATCGGACCACCTTAGGCCAAGTTCAGTTCAGGTGTTGAATTCCGCGGGGCACATGGAGGAAACCTTTGCCAAAAAAAATCTGCAATCAAACCCCCTTGTAGGGTGTGGCCACCTATCGCATTGCAGTTTGTCAGGTGAGTGGTTTTCGCACTTTGTTTCCACAACTCAGCACCCAACAAAAACATTCATTGTTTGCCCAAAATGAAACTGTCCACACTCTCAAAATTCCCTGGAACTAGCATGTCCCTTAAGCCAGGTACACAGTTGGTCATTGAAAACATTGCCCCACACCCACTGAATATGGCAAGCCACAGCCAATTAGACAGAATGCGCTCAGCCAGGCGGAGGCTCTGGAACAATACATCGCGCTTCTCTCGCCCCAGATAAGACAGAGTCATCAAATTGGTCCGGTCTGCAGTGGGCGCCAACGACTGATGCGTGATGCGACCATCAAACTCGTCTGCGCCCAGCTCTTCTTTGGCGCTGACTTGTATAATTGCAGTGCCCAAATCAGCAATGGGCTTGGTTGCGCACCACACACCCAGGATCCCAACCAACTCACGGCACGCTTCCTTCACACACTCCATATCTTCAACGTTTGGAATGGTGGGATCTCGCAACTTGGCCCGATAGATCAGAGACAATTCGTTCATAGCACTTTGATGGAACACAGCCATGCGCAGATCCAATCGCGCTCCTGAACTTACCCTGAACTTACATTGAGCAAGCACGTCAGCTAGCAGCAAAGTGCCACGCTCAAAACACGACTCATGACCAATTCAGTCCACAATTAATGAATGTTCCAAGGGCTCAAACAAAGAAGGGGTTGGCAGCCAGAGAAAGATTGAGGGAAAGGAGTGACTGTCTGACACCATACTTCTATCATTCAAACAATGCTGTAAACTGTGTTTACACAAGACGCTCTCACAACTGCACTTGCAACTGTTCAGCTCACGCGCTGGCTTTGTTTGCAAGTCACCAAAGTGGTCAATCTACCAATAGAATCAGCTGATATCCTCGGGAGGAATCACCTCTACACATTCGTCAGGCTCTACAATTTCATCTTTGGCAGGCGTTTCCTCCTCGTGCCCCTCCTGCTCTTGCTGCTCAGCAAGAGAGGTCATTTCTGCCGCCACAGCCTCTGGAGTAGCAGCATCTCCTGCTGAATCAGTAGCCGTTGAACGCGATGAGTTCACAACCTCATCCAGGACAGCCCGCTGCATTTCAACCTCAAATGAACCATTGATGACATTGCACCATCAAACCGGCCCTGCCCCCAGACACAGAAACAAGCGAAACAAGCAACACGAAGCTGCTTACACTCTTCCAGGGATGTACCGCCCTTCAACTTCTCAACCAAGAACTCCTTGGCAACAAGAATGGAATAGAGACTTGAAATCGAACACCCTGCTCAAAGAAGGGCTTGGGTCATCCTAATAGCATCTGATGACTATATCTCTTAAACGCATTCAAACGCCACTTCGAGCGCTGCCACGCGACAGCAATTTCTTTCGATTTCTCCTTTGGATAAACTTTGCCACCCACCTGGGAGCGAAGCTAGAAAGCAATGTGAATAGGGCGCAAGCATGCACAGTGCTCGCATCTTCAGAAATTAAATCCGACTACTAAGAAATTGACCCGCAGCGGCTCGCGTCCATCATATTTGATTCCCCACGAGTTGTTGTTCTTGTAGTACGAAATAGGGCCAACCTTTGGGATCTTCTCCGCTTTCACTTCTGCTGACGCTGCAGCAGGCCTCTTCCTAGGCAGCACCTTGCCAGCTGGCTTGGGCTTGGCTGCAGGAGCGGGCGCACCCTCCGGAGCCGACTTCATCTTGGGCTTAGGCTTCAACTTGGGCACAGGGGTGGCGGCAGCTTCCTCATGCGGTTCCGCTGATGCTTCAATCGGAGTTTCCACAGCAGCTGGGCGTCTCAAAGCCGGTTTCCTCTTCACCTCAACCTCCTGAACAATTCGAAACTCTGAGTCTTGTCAACTTTCAATTCACCACACATTGAAAACAAGTTCACTGAAGATTTTAACACAACCACAATCTGGCAGGCATATCGCCTCCTCTGACGATTTGGAAACCTCCTCGATGCTTCTCAACAGCGGCATGATGGTGAACTCTGCAACACAAGCTGGTCACTCCCTTGAACAGCCATGGAGAGGCAAGTGGATTTCGACACTGCGTCCAACAGATAAAAGACAAACCTCCAGTGAATTGGCCGGCCCATTCGCTATTGTCTGACTAAAAATAAAGATGCGTTAATTCTAGTCACTAGTCTCACAGATGCACAGTGTGTTGGCGTTGTGACAGCTGAATATTCCTTTTGAGGGTATGCCTTCCGAACTGCCAGCTGTACCCGCGCAGCGCAAAATCTGCCATGTGGCCATCACAGTGAAATTTCTCAAGCACAACACCTCTTGCAAAGTTGGACTTAAATAAAAGACTTGCAAGTTGTCAGGCCTGGCAGCGAAAAGTTCAATGTTCGACCCTCTACCCATCTACTGTCATCTACCTGGCACTCAGCTTCACTGCTAACTGCGCCGGAATCTCAAACTCGCACAAAATGTAGACCTTGGGCTTGGAAGCTTGCACCTTCGCTGGCGCTCGGGAGAAATCCACCTCAGGGTTTCCGAAATCAAGAGATCAACCTCCTCTTCAGGCAGAATCACAAATCAACCGAACTTGTCATGTAGATCCCCCCAAAAAACCTTTCCCAAAGATAGCACCTCCCACACAACTGAAGCAAGGTCATTCCTGACACATTTGTGGTAAGATCCGTGAAACAAAGCACCAAGCACGTGGCGCCCAACTTCCTCGGATCCTTCCTCCAGCGGGTTGGGTCGGAACACTGGCGCCATCAAATTTGGAGCGGGCGCCACGTTGTAACGAAATGAGACTTCAACAGCTGGTGCGTCGCCAACCTTAGGACTAGACAGCAAAGTGAGCCCTTGAGAGCTGCTCGAAAACATTACATTCAAAATTGGAAGCGGTACTGCGTGGCAAAAATAGACACAATGCGGCCAGCAAAATGGAATTTTAATGCAACATACACCAGGAGACAGCAGGATGGAATTTGCTGGTGAGAGTGTGGTTCTCTACCTCGACGTGGGCTAATCCATGTTCGGTCGCGAGCCACTTCAAGAATGCGCAAAGGCTCATGGGCTTCTTCTGGTAAGAGACAAGCGTCAAATCAGACTCCAATCGCCACACAAGACCACTGCCTTCGCATCGAGCCTGTTCTTCACCTGATGAGTGGAAGCCAAGCAGAGATGCCTGGCATTGGAACACTAAGGAATTGGGCCCTCAGTTCTCCAAGATTAACCATTACTATTCTTTGCAAAAATGAATATAGAGTCAACGAACATCGAGTGGCTGATGACAGCGTCAGCAAATGAGCCTGTCCCGAACCCGAACAACTCAGAAGCTGTCACTTTCATGACATTCATGGATGGGTTGACCAACCAAACGCTGTAATCCTCCTTCAAAATGGCGATGCTCGGCTTGCCATTCTTGCCAACAGTCATCCCAAGCCTGCGCAGCAATTACGTAAGGGTGCAGCCGGAGGAAAAAACACAGGACAGGTTCCACCTTCCACAAAGATTTAGGCCCCTTAGGCCCTAAGCTGTCTTGGCAATTCGCTTTTTGCCTTTGAGGCCCTGCCTTTCTTTCTGGTTGAACTCATCCAAGGCCACTGCCGGAAGCTCAACGGATCTGGTCACATCAACAGGCTGTCGCCCACCTTCAATGGTGAAGTCACACATGCCAGAGACCCGGTCTCCATGGACACCGGAACTTGAAGGACTTGACATAGGCCCCGCAGCATCTGCGCCGAACTCTAGTTCAAAAGACGCCTTCAGCTTCAGAAGTTCACCATGCTCTCTGGAAAGGTTGTCGAACTTGTTCATCACAGCACTGGGCCAACAAGGCTTGCCAGCCCCAGTTACAGCCACGAGCTGCAAGTCGAGGTCCTGGACTCAATTCCGGTTTCCCTCTCGCTGCCGTTCCTTCGGCATGGTTGTTGAAGCTTCATCCCAAGACTTGTACACCTCACTTTGAAGGGCCTCTCGCAACGACTTGAAGCCCTTCTGGATGATGCCGCAATAGCGAACGGGAATGTCAGAATTGTTCGACAGCAGTCTCCGCACACAGGCGCGTCCAAACTCTGCGTGCCGGAGGGCAAGTTTTGATAAGAACATCCTCTGTAAAATTTGGTCAACCCCTGTCTTGACTTGGGAACGACCATTTTACAGAAAATATATATGGAAGAGGTTTTGGTGCTGGACCAAGTTTTTACCAATGTATGAACAACTCGGTCGAAATCTCGGTGGAAATCTTTGGGAAGCTAGGAACGAGCTAGGAGAACACCCAACCCAATCTTAGAGTAGATGTATTTGTTGGTTTCGACCTCGGGTGAGGCATTTGTAGGGGATCTAATAAACAGTACATTTGCATAACTGCTTCCCCATCTATACCCGTCCTGTTCGGCGCGATGTCCAGCCAAACCACAACATCCTTGTCCTTCTGGATGACCGAAGGTTCTGACTGAAGGTACCCTTCAATGATCTGGCTGTGAACGTCCAGCCCTTTCCTCGCAGTCTTGTGGTGTTGGGAAAAAATGTTCAATTTCAAAACCAAAAGCTTGCAATTTTCCACTTGGGTCGGCCTGCGAAAAAAGACCCCCGCAAGTCCAGGTCAACCTGCCTGAAACACAGGTTTTGAAGGGTGAAAGCCGGACTTGTGGGGGTCATTTTTCGCAGGAAAGGATGGTCGAATACATTGGCGCCAGCTTTTCAAACCCATCTTGTCACAAAAAGAACAATGATAGTCACAAGATGGGAACTGGCCACGAACACACACTGGGAAAAGCTACCAGATTCCAAGGGACCACTCGCGGACAGTGTCCAGTTTCCAAACGTGGCGGTCTTTCTCAAAGGGGCGGCAAAGAACATCTTGGACAAATTCTCTCAAGCTGTCCACAAAGTCATCCGGGGTTAATCTGCTGCGCACAGTCTTCAGAAAACTCGCACACTGACCAAAAACTTGGTCGATGTCTTCGTGGGAGTGTCCGCTCCTCAAGGAACAAACCTTGATGGAGCGGACACTCCCACAACTGACGGCGCCAGCGCAATATCGGAGCGTGTGGTTGTTCTTGATTTCGCGTGGAGTATTGTCACATTGGATTGTTATATCGGTTCGTGTCAAGTCGGTGTACTTGCTGAGTAGGTCGAGGCTGTGGGATATAATTTCCAGCGACGTGTTGCTGTCCTTGGGCACGTCGCTGTCTGTCACGTACATTGACACGAAATAGCCATGGGCTATGGCTCCAGTGACATGGAGCCGAGGCCGGCTAAAGTTTGCTAGAGCTTTGGTATGGGCGCTTTTATGCCTTGGTATTGCAAACTTTCCTTGGTCCATCCCATCGATTATAATGCTGATGGAGCTGTGCCGCGCTCGGCTCTCCCCTCTGCTTTCCCAGTACGTCACCCTGTCTCGAAAATGATCCTCCAGGTGTTGGTGGTAAAGGCCCTCTTGTGTGCGCCTGGCACTCAAGTGCCGGGACAATGCACTGATGAGCTGCTTGTGCTTGAAGCATTCGGCGCAAACACTGTGAGAGGAAGCCTGTCTAAATCGCAGGAACGAAAAGTTCGCTGCCCAAACCTGAATCGGCAATAAAATCTGGGATGCACCAAACAGTTCCTGTTTATAAAGAAGATCTACATTGAAACAATAACAGAAACTTATCGCGCTATCATGGCCACGCCACACGCCAGAAACATGGGAATGACGCGGGCTTCTCCAGGGAAGACTGTCGAGTGTATTGTGTGTAGTACTCTTTCATGGTTCCTGGGGGCAAGAACCGCTCTTCACAGTCGGCTGATGTTCTTCCTGGCCTGATCGGTATGGATTTTCTCATCTTTCTTGGCTTCGATGCTCGCTTAGAACTAGGAGCTGACAGACCGCTGACTTGGGCAGCAAGACCAAAATCAGAATAAGGCTCAACATCAGGCGTCTGGGCTCGAACATCAAGGCTTGGAACAGAAGCTTCGCATTCTCCATCTGACAAAGTGTCATCCCGGACGTCAGGCAAAGTTTCAGCCACGCTACAATAGACTTTTTGAAGGAAGGTAACCACATCTGATGTGAGTTCTACACTTCTTGGCTGATCATACTTCCGCAGCTTCAAGTATCTGAGATCGACTGGGGCTGCCTGCCGCCCTGCACGAACAGCTCGAGCTATTTTTTCACATCGCGAATTTCCTAAGCCAACATCCCGAGAGAGGTTGAGAGGCCACTAAGTGGCCCCTTAGCCTCTCCTGGTCAACTGGTCAACTTGACATTTAACATAATGTCATGATTAGTGTCAGCAACACGAAAGCAGCCGTAAGCCAAGTTCAGTTTGGCTTCCAATGCCATGCAACTGTTTCCACGACTTGAAGCATACGGGGTGCCCCAAAAAATGCCAGCTGCACGTAGATTTACCAGACTCTTCTCGATCCTTCTCCACGGCCTTGACTTCGTCAAATACCTTTGAAGGCACAAAGGAATGTGAACCCCAGGCGCAAATATTGTTTCGAACAATACTAGGTTGACAGTGAAAACATCAAAGCGCCACGCACATTGCAACACAAGTTGCCATTTGATCACGGTCGAGTTTGTGGTACGTTTTCCATTTCTTCCGGAAGTCCAGGAAACGGGTGAACTCAGTGCTCTTCCGAAAATGTTCTTTACAACGCTTGGTGCATCCTTGAGAAGCACACGGCTGTGAAAGCAACACTTGAAGGGCTAAAGGGTCGTCAAAATCAAGCCGCTTCCTCTTCACACCTCTAAGAGGGGCTGCTGGAGCGGCGTCGCAATCTGGCTCCGAATCAGTCAACTCGGTGATTGAAGCTGGTGGCATCCAAAGGCACGCGCGTAGAACGAGGCATTGTCATGAGGGTTCCGAAGTTTGCAAACTAAAAAACTAGATTTTAAGCATGTTTAACAACATCGATTACAAGAGCCCTGACAATTGCAGTGACAATGGAGTTTACCCACTGTGAAGGGCATGGTACTTTCAAAATAACTCGCTTGAAACAAACCATTGCGCTCGCTGCAGACAACACCGGCGTTCATTGGGATGAGCACAAAGCAGAATCGAATCAGAAGTGACTGTGGGTTGGCTAACATAAATTCAATTTGGACACATTTCCGATGTACTGCATAACAATATTATCTCCTGAGTGAGTGTTTACATGACTGTCAAAAAGGAAAGCTGGAAAACTGGCAGCCAGCAGTGTTTGCTCCTGAGTGAAAGGTTTGCCAGCAGTCACTGTCACTGCTTCAAAAACCGAATACTGCTTAGCCAGTACCCCTCAGGGAAGCATCGGGCGGACCACTCTTCTCCTCCTTGGCGGATGCCATGCTTTCAGAACCATTATTTCAATACCGTACCCAACCTACTACTCACAACAAGATTAGAGTCCTCCCCGCGCAAGCTGTTCTCACACGGGAACCATTCACGGCTAGTCCAGCACCACTGCCACCTAAGCCACTGCCACAGCAGCCCGGAATCAGCAAACGGAGAGATAAAAAGGACATGACACACCACACAAGGTGGTAACATTGAATTGAGACTCCAACCGTTGACCGTGCCAGTTTGCAAACACGAAGGTATTGACTGGCACCCTTGGCCGCAAGGCTGAACTTGCTGGAACTTGAACGAGTTCAAACCGCAAACAAAAATGCACGTTCACAATCGAGTGGCAACACTGCATTCAGACCTGTAGTTCTGACTCTCCCAGGTGGCCACTGCGTGGCCACAGTTGCAAGTTTCGGCTCGCCACGGTCAGGAGCTTTACGCTTCCCACACAGCTGCTGCGGTGGCTCTGCCATGGGAAACAAACAACCAAGGTCTAGTTTCCAGCTTCAGAAAGTCTAACAACGCAGTGAGACAAGTTGATCGTATCAATGGAAAGACTGTGGAAATTAAATCTACCTTCTTCAAACAAATCATCAACAGAATGCCAGTTGAATGCAGCACATCCGAGCAAAAGGCTATCTGGGCCACAATCAGCGCACAATTGTTATCTAAGCTGGAGTCCTCAAGAAAGCGTGCACAAGCGCAGTAAAACCCTGTCTACCGAGTTTGCAGCTGCCTTCGAAGCTCATCATGAAGCAGTCTCCAAGACCACACGCCAATCGCTGACGCGTGGCTAATTGAATTGGTTGGCTGACTCGAGTCTGCATGACACTTCTAATTATGAAAAAGCTAGCGACGTCTATGGAGCAGGCGCGTTAGAGATAGCCATGCCCAACGCCACACAAGCCCCCAATCGTGCGCAAGCAGGCACAACCAAATTGCCTAGCACACCCATCCTCTCATTGTGGTCACACGGCTGCTCCTCCGACAGCCACAAATGCTGCGGGACCTTATTCAGCTCGTTCCACACACTGGACTTCTCCAAGAGACTTGCAAGGGGCTCCACCCGCAACGCCTGACAGAACAAAATGCATGGCCACTGGCATATCCCTTGTGGAACCGCGAGGAAAAATCACAAAGCAGGCCTTCACGATGGGATCATTTGGCTTGGCACCAAAAAAGAACACCCGATCCCGGTGAGCCTCATCTGTGACAACTACAGCAAAACAAGTCATCTTGCGACTCTCAATCCAAAGCAGGCAAGCAACTGCAAGTCCAACATTTGAAAGCGATATTCTTGCCCAATGCAACGTTAAGCCACGCCCAGAAGTTTCCTGCGCGTTGAACTTGCGCGCGGCCTTCACTTCATTCTAAAACCAGGCCTGCACGATGTAGTTGAACAGAGATCGCATGCTCTGTTTCTTCCCCAAGATCGCTTTCACGTTCTCAAAGTAGAGGAATCGCCTGGCTTCAACACTGAAGAACACTGCGTCGCACACAACAGTACACACGCACTTCAACCTCAAAAATGCTCACTAGACACTGGAAACTTGACAGCGCCAAGTAAATTAAACTAAGCCTGAAACTGGTGTTGGGACGGCAGGGTGTCAAACACGCGGAAGATGTGCGTCACCAGTTGAGTCCGCCGGTCCTTCAAGCCTTTCTGGATGGAGGCCGTGGAGACTCCCTGGCAAAATTCGTTCGAACTACCAACAACATATCTTTACAACAATGCACGATGGCTGCCTGGCAAGGAAATCCTCCTCCCGCTCCGTCAGCGGAAGACTTGGAAGCATCAAACGTGCAAACATCCGGATGGATTTCTGCCCGGTGCAGTAACCCCTCATCCATTCGCAATTGCAAGATCTTTCTGCAATAGTCCGACTTCTCAACCTGAGAACATTGACAGGACACACGCACGCCACAATGTCGACTCCAGCCAAAGAAAAGAATTGAGCTCGTCACATACGCAGTCGGGTACAAGTATCTGGCAAATGTCACAGTGAAATAAAACAATTAAAGCTAACATCGAAAACTGCGCAACGTCCAATGTTCTCGCCTGCTCAAGCCAAGCTCCAATCCTCCGCAGCCGGCAAACATAGCGATCACTCCAATCTTGGAGCCCTGCCACCAACAGCAATCGTCAGAACACAATTCACTCATGAATCACTGTAGGGATCAGGGCATTGCCTGGTTTGCGTTTGGCTGCATGTCTGGAAATTGCTTGAAGAACTTCTCCTTGTTCACAGCGCCAGCATTTGCCGACGTCCAGCCCGAGGGCAAGCCTGGCAAACATTGCCCAGAACTTGAACCAAAAAGGGAAAACAACAATGTCGCTGTATGCAGTACTTACAGCCTTCAAGTAAAACAAGCCAACTTCAATCCAAGCCTGAGAAGAATTCTCCAGCCAGAGGGTTCAGAAATCTCCCTGGCTTTTGGTTGAACTTCTTACAGGCATCGATGTAGTCACAGCTGTAGCGGACTTGGTTGGCAAAGTCCTGCGAGATTCACTTCAGAATTCAACGAATAGCCAACAATCACTCAATGAGCTGGGCATCGGACCCAAATTCCACGCTGCGAAGGTTTGTCACTAGTACGGGTAGTCGCAGAAAAAACACCTCAAGAGAGTAGATTGAAAGTTTATTGGATAACACAGGTCAACAGCACATTGATGGAAGGCATTATTATGTTAATACGCACACGTAAGGTTTGCACGAATGGAACTCCAGGATTGAAACGATCGATCTCCACAAAAATCTGGAGATTTCCTCTTCCTGCCATTCTTGCTCACACGCCTGCTGCATGAAGAACTGGGGGCAACCACCTGGCGGGCTGCGCAAGTCACTGGGCCATTCTGTCTTGGACCCTGGCCTTCAAGTTGAGCTTGGCAACTTTGGTAAGCTCCATGCGCACAGGCGTCACAAACAAGGACTGCTTCGATTTGACAGTGGCAGTTCCAAATTTGGGCAGCCTTTGAACCCCACGGGCGCACCAAACAAACCCTTTGCTTGACTGATTGGGCTTCCGGCCACGTGATGCCCCACCCTTTTTCAAAGCCTCGGAGCGGGTCGCTTTGCATAGACGTTGCACAGTGACAATCAAACAGCTGAATCCAGAAGTCTAATACTAAGTACAAAAGAACTCACAGTATTGATCGCAAACTTTGCTTGTTAACTTCAAGACCCTGAATGAACAGGATTGAACGTCATGTTAATCCTGCTGCCTGCCTTCATAACAGTCTTGACCCCCATCGAACGCTTCCCGGATCTTGGCTTCGAAGTGTGGGACTTCATCGGCCTAAACCGAAAAGTGTTCAAAGCTGGAATCGTGGGATCGAAACTGTACCTACAGCTATCTATCCACAGACAAGGACTGGCATCTTCACGAACAAAACCAGCTCAAAAGTGAACCGTTTGGTTTGTCCAGAGACGACTGAGCTTGAGGCATCGTCGGCTGGCACCCTTCGGTCTCCGATTCGGTCGCTGCACAGGTTTGGCTGACAGGCATTTGGGAAAATCTTACCTCAAACTTGGCTGTGCTCCCTGAGCCAAAAATTAGGAAAACAAACCCAGTGTGCATACCGAAGGCGAGCTATTATGGTATGATGGCACATTGTGCCACGTGTTGAAAGACTGTGAGCTATAATAAATGAAACGATCGCAATGGCAAAAACTGGCATACCATGAATGCAACACGAATCGCAAAACGTTTTAGATGTTCCTCCATCTGCCCCATCCCAGCTCAAGGCAGGGACGCATGCCATCACTCAGAACAAAATCTATGCCAGTTTGCCCTTGTTGCAACATTCTGAATGGCAACCGGGGCAAAGAAATCTACTTGGCCCTCTGCGCGTCAGAATGCAAAAGGGCCCGGTACTTTGCGCCAGAAACTTCAATCACAGGCACGGCATCCTTCTCAGAAGGAAGAAAGCGGGGCGCATCTGATGAAACCATGCCTTCATTTGGGGTGATGATCAAAACTTTCCCGAAGTATTCAAAATCTTCTGCGTAAAAGCTGGCACGGTCAAGGGGGCGGTCTGACCGGCCCAACCAATCGCCAAAACGAACAGCGCCATTGTCGAACAAGCACCTAAGTCCAAGCTACAACTTTGATGTTTGATGTTAACTTGGCATGAACACTTCTTTGAGGCATGGACACTTGTGCCCAACGCTCATCACAATCGGGATCTGCTGAGAGGACACAACAGGGGCGATCTTGCAGAAGTGGCAAGGAACCTGCCACAGTCATCAAAAAATGCTAGAGAGTTCTAAGGCAAGAATGCTGCAAACCCACAAGCGCGTGAGACCTCACAAAGCTTGCCAATTACGCAGTTCTTCTCAACATACCTGCCTTCTTGCAAACGCTTGTAGAAAAGAAACGCAGAATCTGGACTCTGCACTTTCCCGGCTAAAAGCAACGCCTGCCAGTCTCAGGACCGCAAAGCAATGACTCTTACACAGACTTGGACAGAGGTGGCTCAAGGGAGCCTTCACTCTGTTCTCTGGGTAGACTTTGTAGTCTTGGCCTGAAGGTCAAGAACAATCCTTCCATCGCTTGCCAAAAATCCGAGACGAGCCTTGCGTAGAAACATCTGTCTTGCTACCCTGGCGCAAGAGGCGCTCCGAGAGTTATATTTAAGTCATTTTTAGTCTAGCCGCACTCGCCTTAAATTGGATGCCATTCTTCACCATATCCCCAGTATCAGCAAGGCGCAACATGAGCTGAGGAATCGTGAAAACACAATGATCAAGTCGGGCGCACTGATCAAAAAATTGCTCGGGCGAAGCGAGCGACACTGGAGCTGACACAGGCTTCCCTGGGCCCAGCAAATCTTCCAGGTCCAGTCCAGGACCAGGTGGTTTCACAATCTGAGAGATGAAATTAGATTAGAACATAATATATATGTTTAAATTTTTATATTATGAAAAAATTTAAACAAAACGTTTTTTTTCCCTGTGGTCGGTCATTGGGCCAGTGGTTCACATGGCATCTGTGGTTACATCTTACCATGATGCTCCCAGCAGGTACCTCCTTCTGGTCAGTCTAATAGTCTAATAGCATCTGAGTGCCACTTTGTAGACTGATCCTTCCACCATATGCATGTATGTCAGTCTGTCAAGTCCAAAAGCAACCCAAGTCCCAACCCCAGTTCAATTCCCAACCCCGGTTAGGCAGAAAACTCCTTTTTTGTGGACATTCCTGATGAAATCAACCAAGCCTACATCGGAGACCTTCTCCGTATCAGTGAAGCCTTTGCTGCTCCCCTGTCCAACCTCTTCACATTCGTGAAGGGTGGACACCCAGCATGCCCTTTCATTACCCACAAACAGCTCGCCCTTTATGCAAACCCCCGTTTCTGGCAGTATGGCTTACTTGCCTTCATCGCAAGAAAACAAAGGAAAAAGATGTCGATGCCCTCACCTTTACGCAAACTGTCATCATGTCCTTTGTTAGGGGAATGGAGTATGGCGAGCAGACGCTACCCACCAATGACCTCTTTGTCTATCTCCCAGTACAGATCCTGCCCGACCTGGTTGTAGCCATGGAGCGGCAGGGCTTCACGCCCGCAGAGGTGAAGGGGGGCTACGGCTACCGACCCAAAGAAGAAGGAGCTGAAGATAACCCTCTGCTCGTGGTGGGAGTGCACACAAAAGAAATTGCCTACGACCGATACCCCCGAATGCCGGATACTTCCTGGGCTGAAAGAGCTTACTCTAGTGGTGCCCTTGACCCGTCTTTGGGACAAGCCTTCTCGTTTCCTTCCCTTCTGCAGCTGAGGCTGCGCATCGAAGTCCCCTTGTGGAGAGACCTGGCGACTGCCAGACACCCCGCCGCAGACTTGCCTGCAGAAGAAGACTCTGCCTCTGATGCTACCGGGTCAGCTGAGCGATCGCCCAGACTTGCGCTCCCGGTGCCAGTGGGGCTTGCTGAACCACCAGAAGCTGACACTGAGGAAGCTACTGAGGATGAGGACATGGCAGCAGAACCCAACTATGCTTTTGCCAAGGGATACGGACGTTTCGGCGTAGGCTATTCTAGGCTAGCAACGGCGCTTGGCAATTTTGAGCAAGGGAACATCCAAGCAGAAAGTACAGTAGTAGCTCAGTGGCTGACCACCGGGCTACGAGTTGCCATGTCCCGCACAGGGTGGAATCTGCTGTCTCCCCGCTTTATGTTGACCAAAGTTCCTAGTGCTATCCTCAGTAACTACTACTGCCATGGATATCCTTTCACTCCTAAAATGGAAGATCGCCCATATAACCAATATGGCCCACTCCTTTACTCGGAAGGCCGATGGGATCAGCTCTGCGCATGGCTCACTGGGAATTCCAAGTTTCGAAGTCAGCTCGCAGGCCACAAGCAGGCGCTTAGGGACCACATGGGCTACAGTCAGGAAGCCGCTGACCCAAGTAACAAAGCTCGCCGTACTGTCCCTCCTCCAGGAGCGGGAAGCTCCTCGTCTGCAGCAGGGTCTTCCTTTCACAGCAGGCCTCCCCCACCGCCCACGCCTTATGGGTGGTGGCAGTAGGGCGGTCTCCAGTAAGAGTCTCCCCGCACAGTGACCGTTTCCTAGTAACTGGACCTCCTCCATGAAATGGGTAGCCTTAGCCACCCTAATTCTTGTTGTCTAAATGTCATCATGATTTTCGCAACGACAACATATCCGTTACCTCGGTTTTTTGGCCCAAGCAACTCGAGCATAAACGCTCGGACTGCCGCCTATGCGACAATGCCGCCTAACCAAGACCGTTATGAGGTCAGTCTTGATTTGGTCACGATAGCAGGCACGGAATATACTATGCAAGCAAATCTCACCCAGTACGAGGATGTGGCAGAGCTGGAAGATGACATTCTTTGCTTTCTGCCGACAGTTTCTGATTTGGATGTCTTCGGCTGTGAGTTAGATTTGCTCGACCTTCACACGCAGCAACCCCTGCCAGAAGCATTTCGCACAGCGCTCCTGCAACGGCCGCAACTACAAATTGTAGTTCGTCCCTGCATGGTAGATGGACACTCCATCTGGCAGTTCCAAGAGGACGGAAGGGAAAGCTACCCCAAAGCTGTACGTGTCCCGGCTAACCCATTGCTGACAGAGCCTTCTATGCTGCACCCTCGCTCCGGCATGTAGAAGTGGCAATGGGCATCCAACATGTAGGAATTGCGGCCTGGCAAAGTTGCCAGCTACTGCAAATTGTCAAGCTCCCACCCTCGGTCATAAGTCTTGCAGAAGGGACCTTCCAGGGGTGCTATGTACTGAGAGAGGTGGCCGCCCCGGGGTGTGTCCAGTACAGTCGAAGAGTGTTTGCGGAGTGCTGCTCCCTAGGTCGAGTTGGTGTCAGTCACGAAACTGAGGACAGCAACGTCCTAGCACCAGGGGCACAGTTAGGCAAATATGCATTTGAGAGTTGCCTCACGCTTACAACCATCACCTTTGACATGGACCACACCAATAAACCCCGAGCGCTGCCTGAAGGTGCATTTTGTGGAGCAGGCATTGAACAGCTCTGTTTGCCAAGTGACTTTCACAATATCGGGCCGAGGGCCTGTGAAAACTGCAAACGACTTGTGGAGGTCAACCTCATGGGCACAGAAATCACAGCCCTACTCTACTCCACCTTTGCCCACTGTGTAGCCTTACATTGCATATGGCTACCACCAAGACTCACACAAATTGGCAAAGAAGCCTTCCTTAATTGCGTTATGCTCCAAGAAGTAGTCATCCCGACAGAGCTCAGTGACATAGGCAACCGTGCTTTCTGCGGGTGTGAGCAACTGCAACGATTTACTCCCCTGGATTGGGGAGATATTGAACAGTGGGTGCAGGCAGAGCGCAATGCTTTCTTCATGTGTGACAAATTTGAAAAACCCCGGTGGGTGGAGCTCCTCTCCGCGGATGGGCCCGATTCGGACGCCTTTGATGAAGAGCTATACCAAGAGTACTCCTAACATCAGGTCAGTCCATGTGAGGTTCAAGGTGGGTGCCTTAGCATCTGTCTTCAGGAAACATCCCTGGCCCTAGGAACAGTCCATGAGCAGAGTCAGAAGCTTTTGGCTCAAACAGTAAATGCAAGTAGACAGCCATTCATGGAGCTCGACGACTCATCCATGCTTAGTACTCCCCCTGAAATGGAGCCGGTCATGGACTGCTCCTTGGTACTGACCACGCTCTCGGGGGTGACTATCAAGGTCTCTCTCAGTGTGGCAAAGTTTGATCGATTTGAGGACCTAGAGGACCAGGTTATGGACTATCTGGCCTCAGTCACTGACCTCAAAGTGTTTGGGTGCTCCATCGACTTTCTGCAAACTGCCACACAGACATACCTTGAGGACCCAATCTGGGACAGGCTACAGCAAGGCGTGGAATACACCGTTGTCTTCAAGGATAGCAGTGTCATCCTGTCATCACAGGAACAACTCGAAGGTTGCCCTATCCATCAGGTTCCGCTTGCCGTTCATGTCCCTATGAACCCAGAGGAAATCGTCCCAGAAGGGGCTTTTGCAGGGGTTCCGCGTCTGCGGCATGTCAGTGTT